GAAATTAAATATTATTGGCAAAAGCTTTCAGTTGCATTTCCGTAGCTGCGCTTAAATCTCGACAGCTAACAGCGGCTACACAGAGTTTCTTTTAAATCCACCTCACGCAGCACAAAGTTGTAATAGAAGCCAATGCAATGACCGCATGTCGACGAAGAGGCGAGTAAGTCTGCACTCTACACACATTTACATTGTGTCTTCTAACTCCTGGGTGCTTTCATATATAATATCTTCCTGGACTTGTGTGTGTATACAGTATATGTCTTAATATATATATAATACAGTAGTTTTAGTAAAGAACAACAGTACAGTCTTTATTTTATCATCATGGGGTCTCTGCTTAAAGAAAAAACTGAAAAATTAGCTCTTCCGAAACCTGCTGGTTGTGTTAGAAAGGAAACTGTCCTGCCGGCTGAGAAGTGAGTAGCACTGTATCCTAGTTTGTGAGTTTCAGTTAGCTCATCCTGAGGTAAAACATTTTGTGCAATGCTTAAAAAAGAGAGCGGTGACTTGTAGAAGAACAGCCCTCTGCCAGGGTTAACCCACCTCAGTGCTGTGTCATTCCCGTGTGACGGATGTGTGGGGTTAGCGTAAACCTTGTGTACAGATCACCCCCCGTGTTGTATTAGTGAGAATATGCAACCGTGTCTTCTGCAAACTCACTTCACATGCGACTATTCTGCGTTTAACAATGGCGTTTTGGGGAAACGTACACTGCAGACACACAGGAACCGCTGCACAATGTTATGCAAATTTTTGATTAACCGATTTACCCATTTAGTCAGTGAAGTGTGAAGAAGAAATTGTTCGCGGGGCTTATCGTGACTTCCCAGAGCTGAAAGCGATGGCTTCAAATTGTCTAGTTTGCTCAACCAAAAAAGCCAAAACAAAAGATGCTCAGTTTACAATAAGACGCAGCAGCGCAGCCTCGCTTTCGAAAAGCTGGGAGCATTACTTTGTCTGTCGGTAGACTAATCAATTATTTGACTAATCCTGCACATCAGACATGTAAGAAATTCCACTGCAGGTTTTTGGTTCATATTTAAAAATGAATCTCTACATCGTGTTTCCAGCGCACGTACGATATCGTTATGGATTCCCTGCACTCATGTTTCAAGTGTAATTAATTTACCCAAGATGAGCTTTACTGACACTATAATTATTATTTTTTCTTTAAAAACATCGTTACTTTAAGACTGAGGCCAAATATTTCAATTCATTTTCTTTCAGCATGAACATTTATTCGTTTAACTTTCTGTGCGGCTCGCACAAACGTGTTGCAGAGTGCCCTCTGGTGGACAAACCTGGTCACAGCGTGTTGCTTTTCAGCTTTTAAATGTTTTGTTTTTTATAAATCGGATGGATTTTAATGCAAATTCTACATTCCCATATTCCAGTGCCTGGTCCCTTTATCCTTTCGAGCAGGTGTTCCCAAACTTTGGAATTCTGAGGATCGCACAGTTTCATTTCTTTTTGCTGGTTTGTCGTTTTTTTTAATGACTTGTGTTAAAACCAGTGCAGGGTAGGGTTTGGTCTGCTTCGATGGCTACAGCGACACAAACTGTGCGCCTCAGAAATGTGTTGATGCGACGCTACAAAGACGAAAACTAAGTACATTCATGAGCTGAGCTCCAACAACTTTGCAGATAAAGTTCTGTTTACGTGTCGTCAGAAGAACTTTTCAGCCAATTCAGAACTTTTGTATAATGTCTCCTGGAGGGGCGGTGTAAAGCAGAAGAACTAATTTTAAATCGCCTGGGAGAAAAAAAATCACTGGAACAGGATCTAATAAAAGACAACTATCCCTTAAAGTAATTTAATAAGGCGGCTTAAAGCACATGTTTCATGGTCCTATCAAATTTCTAAAAATACCAGTGAGCATGAGATAAGATGCGAACACAGGCCGCCGGTGGGAAATGCAAATGCTCATCCCCCATATTTACATTCAGCTGTACTTATATGAATCGCTGCACATCAACACAGCCGGTGTCACATTTCCCCCAAAACACAGCAGCTAATGCAGAACAGTTGCATATAAATGCACGGTGCTTTGCAAGAGACCGGGCTGGCATATGAGCATTGTGAGTTCAAGACAGAAATCTGACCTTCATGACCCTTTACTCTGCATGCTGTCATACCACATAATACAGCTTGTAAGGCTCCACTGCAAGTGCACAACAGTAGGACACTCCAATGTTTGAGGAAAAAAAAGAAAGCAATCAGAGCAGTGCTGTCTTTGAACTAAGAATTACCAAGGCATGCTCGTCAGCATTAAGCGTTCTGCGTGCTGGATGAGTCAAAGATTCGATGATAAAAGCTGGGAAAGGAATAAAATGGGATGGATCAGTGTTCACCATCAACCTGATTTCTCTTTGTTGTGCGTATACACACACACACACATATATATATGTATATAGGATAGAAATGCCCCAGTATATTCTTAGTCAGATGACAGCAGCTGCATATACACACCTCTGAGCATGCACCATGCGTGCTGCAGTAGGCTCACATTGGTTATGGTGACACAGCACCCATATACAGCAGTCAAGATAATGCACATGTGCATAAAACTTTCCAAAAGAAAACCAAAAGCACAAAATGAATACGAAACAAGAGCAGACCAATGATGACATCAAAAAGGTTGTTGTAGAAATATCTGCTTGCGAGTGTCAGGGGAGGGGCTCAGCATGTGGACCTGGAAGCTTTTAGTTAGATTTAACTCTCCGCCAAGGACTGGGTGTTCGCTCGTTTTGTGTTTGTATTTTATTTTTTTAAAGAGAGGATTTTTTTTTTCGTTTGTTTGTTGTGGGTAATGTCTCTGTCTTTTCTCGCTTTTTTCTTTCTTTTAGTAGGGAGTGAAGCGACTGTACCCTCCTCTGTATAGGCTAGCCTGCAACATCAAAGATGAAAAAGTACCAATCAGTATTCAGGTGACAGCTAGAGTCGGTTTCTCTTTCTCCACAAATTTCCTTCCTTTTAACTTATTGAGTTTTCATATACGTATAATCTCGACACAGATTGAGAGTTTGAGACACTGAAGCCAATAACGGGTTTTGTTGAATAAATTCCCCGATTGCATACAATCCGAGTGTGTGTTAGGAACGGGAGGTAAAGTGGATTGTTGGATTCGGAGCTTAACTGGTGCAATTCATACAGAGGAAATTGTTTATATGCATGTAGATAGAGCACTTTCTTGAACGGCGAATACATTTTGATTTCATTACGCTTAGAAATAAATTGAAAAACAGAGATTTTTGTCCTTTTACGGCCGTAACAATATCAGAGATTGGACTAAAGCAGAATAAGTTCTGAGAGGTTTAATCACGGCTCCTTTTCAAGTCTGGCAGAGGTGCCTGCACCTTTCTGGAGGGCCAAACCACCACAGGATATTAGCCCTTAGATTTAGCACCATGCTCAAGATATCTAGGGCAGACACACATAGAGCATGCAAGTGGGCCTATGCATGCACACCTGCACATGCACGCACACACACGCAGTCCTTCTCATCTTTCGGTGGCTCTGCTGCAATTAGGAATTCAGGCAAACTCATGTCTTCAAAGGCTAATTTTGCCTAATTTCGCGGAGCCCTCTTGCTTGTACAAAACTTTCATCCGTACGAGATGCTTCTGTAAGCTGGAAACGAGTAAAGAGAATTTCCAACCTCAACCTCAGAGGAACTAATTATTGTATAGCTTTTAAATGCAAAAATGACTCCTCGCTGCTGGAGAACCATTAATCAAATATGATTAAAGAATTAGGAACCAAACTGGTCTTCTCTCTTTAGCTTAGGAGTTTATTAGATGTTGGCCTCAGCACAGCCTGCATCCCAGTAGCCTCGCCATTTGTTCAGCGCCCCGTGAACCCACGAGCACACACACACACACACACAAACAAGCCTGCGTTAGCTCCCTGAGCTCCCAACACACACCACATTAGATATTTTTTAGGGTCCAGATCCTGACTTCTACATTCGCTGAGAGGACGACTAAAGTGTCAGAGGAAAGGAAGGAAATTTGGAGGGAAGAGAAGAAAGAATAAAAAACATTCAAGCACATTTTTTAATTAAGTAAATGAAGAGGAAAAAGAAATGTCTTAATTAATGAAAGCTTTTAGCTAGCAGCTGCACCGGGGAACTGTACGCTTCTTTTTTTAAAGTTGTTGAAAAATCGCATGCATGCTGTAATGATGAATTTGAGTCATTTCTCAAGCTGAGAACACGCCACCGATCAAGCTTGTGGGCAGGAGAGGAGGGTGAGACAACTCCCTCCCTCAGTCTCGCTCTCTCTTTTATGTCCCACGGCACACTGCTGCATGCGTTTGATGGGCCTTAATCTCTAGGTTTGGTCTGCGAGCCCGGCCCAACCCCCTCCTCCTCATCATCCTCCTCGCCGTCGTAAAACAAAACCAAAGAGGAACTCTCAGTTTCGGAAAAAATCCTCGTTTGTTTATCGTCACTTTTCATCTTTGATGTTACAGTAGCTGCAAAAGCTAGCTAAAAACAGACATTAACAGTTCGACCTCATCTTTTCGGGTTCGGTTTGACTGAATGGGGGGGGGGGGAACAAAAAGAAGATGATCTGTCGCACTCGGGAGCAAGTTGAGCGATGTAGGATGAAAACAAAGCTTGGAAATGTATCTGTTATGTAACATGTAAAGCTCGTGTTGGGAGAGGGAGAAAAGACTGCAGTGATCACTCATTCTCACTTCAGGAGGAACTTGTGTCAGATCAATAGTGCAGGAGGTGAGCTTGCGTGGCATTGCAGAAGTTTATTGCACTTAATATCTGAGCCAATTTCCACATGCCAGGGCTTCACAGTACTGCCCACTAGGGTGTGCCAGATAGCATGACAAAAACCCGAATCGATTAATGAACAACCCGTAAATAAAAACCAGTGACGAGTGAAGTCTCTGGTCTTTATTTTGGAGTGTGTGTGTGTGTGTGCTGTAGCCTGTGTCATGGAGGGTGCAGACAGGAACAGGCGGTGCTCTCATAGACTTACCATGGTCCCCACACTGTATGTGGCTGCAGGGCCAATCGTGTGGTGATAAGGGTCTGCTGTTGCATAGACTCTGCCATAGCTGCACAACAGGGGACAGAGAACGCGGTCATTGATCTATCATTGACGAGGAGAGAAGAACATTTATGCATGCTTGTTTAATGCTCAACCCCTCAAGTAAACCCTTTCAAGTCTCTAACGCAATCAATTATTTCCCTCCCCGGCCTCCTGGGCTTCCTGCTTTATACAAGGTGGTTCAAAAAGGGGAGTTCAAAGGTTGGTGAATTATACTTGTCTTTTCATTGTCATCTTGATTAGCTGGATAGAATAGGTAATGAGCGGAGGGAGGCAGAAAAAGAAGGATGCAGAGCAGAGTTGGCGCTGGAGGGCTCGCTCTCTCACCCTGCTCTTGTTTACCGAGGCTGCACACTGGGCTCACGCCCCTGTCTTTTCATTGTTGCTGGTTTGGAACTAATCCTTCCAATTTCCTTCTGAGACAGGACAAGATGTGTGCGCTTTATTTATTTATTTATTCGACTTCACATATTCCTCTATTTACTTTCTTTTTTTTTTTTTTTTTTAGCTCTTGCTTGCAAATGAGGGTCTGCAAGGAGCAGATAAGGCACACCCAGCCAAGGACTGAGGGCACCAAATCAACCAGGAATTTAAAAAAAAAGGAGTGGAGAGAGGAGGAAATTCTCCTAAAGGAGACAACAAGACGTACGAACGAGATGCGTTGAGTTATATAAGATCTAAATATGGCGCGGCCCATTCGAGTCCGTCGGCACCCAAGGTCAGCGAGCAGGACGTGAAATCGGAAAGGCTGTCTCGGCTCCTTGGGGAGGAGGCCCGTGCCGTGAGATGGTCAGGGGAAGTCTCCGTGGTCCTCTTATCTTCAGTGAGCACTGAACCCCACAGGCCCTCTAAGGCTAATACATCTCCAGAATGACTCTCACCAGAGTGGCGCCGCTGACGAACAGCAGGTCAAACCACCCCGCGCAATGTCACAGAGCCGACTGGAAGCTAGCAGGGTCTCTACCATGTGCCTGGCTCCTGTGAAGGCCTCTTTGATTCATCAGCCTCGCCTGTACCAACTCTCTTTAGTTACTTAAAGGGCTTTGGTAATGCAGCCTGTGAGCGGTGTGGGCTTTTCGGATAATAAATGTTTCATATTTTGCAGGGTTTCACACGCCTTCCTCAATCCCGGCGACCTCTTTTTTTATGATTGGCTGACGGCTCCACGGTAAAGTCTGATAAGGTGCGGCTGAGACAACACCAGCAAACCCTTATTGATCCAGTGGGCATGACCGCTTATTCAAAAGGAAACAAACAGACAAAGCAAAACAAACAACTTGGGGCGAATTATATTAAATCTCAGAGAAAAGTAAAGGCAAGAGAAACACGAATTAAATCACTCGGAGAGGGAAAAAAAAGCCGCCGTCCAATTTCTGCTCTCGCAGAGCGCGGCTGCTCATAATTCGAACCGCGGCGAGGCCTGATAAATCTTACATTATCGATATGATCTTCAGGCTCTCAGGCAGGGTGTACGTTATCACAAGTGACATGCTCAATCCTTCCCAGATTAGATTCCCAAACCGGCCCACATCCCGGCTGACAACGGCTTTCGGGGCCGAAATGAATCAGCGACGCCTCCTCAAACAGAGCACACCTGAACCAGAGTGACATCACTCAGAAGTGATAGAGTTCCCGCTGGTCCATCTCTGCCTCTCTCCGTCTCCCCACCTCCCCTCCGCAGACCCGAGGCCATTAATAAATACCGCAGTGATATACCCACTCTCCCCTCACAAGCGGAGAGTCACGACATATATCACTGCTTTTCTCATCGAGTCCAACAAGGTTAGTCTTTTTTTCTCCGTGCGCGTGTGTGCTCTTTAGCTCCGAGCTAAAAAGAATATAGCGGTTTGCCTAATAGATAAGATAACTCGAGAGGAAGAAACCCAAAATAACCCTCCACAGAATATTGTAAAATGCTGCCGGAGCAGCCCCCATTCATCACACGCGCTCTCCTACCATCACGTCTCCTGTAGATATGATCATTTTTGGTGGGAAAACACTAATTATTTAAAGCTGAAGCCCACCCTTTGCTACTCCGACACAGCGATGGCTGCATTTATGAGATTTATGAGGACATATTTAGAGGCGCACTCCTTTTTCCTTCTCCCAGTAATTTCCCCTGTTTCACAGCCTGTGGGATCAACTTGTTGCTTTAAATCAAAAGTTCTCGGGAGCAGAGTCGGAAACATGTCCATGTTTTTACTTTCAATTCAGCATTTTCTCAACAGCTGCTCGTGGAGAAAAAAAGTAGCCTGTGCCTGCTCTGCAATGCATTTCTGTTTCTTTAAGCACTTGAGAAGTGAACGCTAACGATGGCTGAAGTCAGCCTTGTCTTATGGAATTATGGGAAACACTCAAAACAGCCTCAATATTCCCAGTTACAGCCAATAGACTATGTGCACGTTAGCATATGCTATTTCCGGTGTCCTATTCGAGCCTGGTTTACGGTCCAAAACAAGTTAAGCGGCGATTTACATTTCTATAGATGTCTTGGGCATTTACCCAGTATATCTGTAAATGCTGTTCATAGAGTTGTCGATATTTTTCCCTGCACCTCAGAGCAAAAGAAATAAATGGTTTAAATGTTATATTTCGCGGGTGTTATGTTCTAAAATAGGTGAAATCAAGTAGCCAATTTTATTTTTTGACGGTGCAAAACGTTGGTGGACATCGTGAACATACAGTACTGCACTTCAGAGTCACACTGCTAGCGATCGATGCAGCGATTCTGTACTGTACAGGAGAGACGTCACGGAGGAGATCGTCTGCAGCGATCAGGACGCAGGACACAATGTGACGTAAAAAAACCCGTGCAAGCTTGCACTAAAAAATCTGCGAAACAGCGAGGTGAAAGGTGAACCGCTGTAATTTTGAAGGTAAGTCACAACATACCCTTTGTAAATATTAATGTATAGAAACCCTTACAAAAAATGCTGGTGTGGCTTTTTTTCACGGTTTGTTAACATGCTGTGTAGGTGTGTACGTGATGAGCTGATATCGACATAACGGGGGAAACATCTGGTTTGACTATTCTTCACCTGTTTAAATCATCAGACCAGTAACTATACAGAGATGTGCTTCTGCTGCAGTTCTGCAAACAACTGATCGATCTAAACTCTTTAAACGTCAAAATTGATCATTAGATTTTTTATGACACAACAGCGGTGAGTGTTCCCACCTTCTGCTCTTTGTAACTTAACGCCATCTTTCCGTTTTTGAGTTTTGGACATGATTTTGGAGGATATCTTGACCGCAAAGTAAAGCTACCGGAAACGTACAACCCTACATCCGGTCTCAAACCAGGAAGTTAGCATTTTCTCGTGCACAGGGTCTATTAATTAATAACTTTACGGAGATTTTTGTCTTTAAAACCCCTCAAATTACATACAAGAGAATCAGTCTCATACAATCTGAGACCCTCACCTGTCACTGTAAGCAGCGGTGGTGGTGGGTTGGGCAAATCTGTATGCTGCATAGCCACCCTGTAAAAGAACAAAAAAATACCACCATATTTAATCAGTGATTACCTGTGCAGACAAAGGTTAGCTCTCAAAGACACAAGAAAACAACCACTCGCACACACACAGCCTCAAATTGCCTTAATGGTTAAATGTCACCACGCAGTAGTTTGCTCATCTGCTCACACTCCCCGACTGCAGCCTCCCCGTGAGACACCAGAGGGTGCTGTTTGATATATGGTGTGTTAGGCAGGTGGTGGCAACAAGAGAATGAATGATGTTCTGAGAGGCAGCGCGTTTAGGGGGAGCAAGTCATTGTCGCACCGGAGGCTCATCCGAAGCGCAGTCACGGAGGCAACGTGAGCCAAATCCCCACATTCGGCCCATTTTTAGATTGAGGGCGCGCCGCTGCTCCGTAATTGAAGATCTCCCCCTTTTTTCCCCTTATACATGACCCCCCCGGCTCACAAAAGAAGTAAGAAGGCAGAAGACGGTCGGACCATTGGGGAGTCAGGACCGCTGTATTCATTTGCCAGAATGGGGAAGGAATTAAAGACCTCATTGTGGAGTGCTGCTATTACTCTCCTTGAAAAATGAAGCTGTTCTCCCACTGTTTTTCTATTAGTGCCAGTGGAGTGTGTGCCCATCTGTGTCCATACGGTGGATAGGTGGCTTTTAATAATGCATGTTTTCATTTATTTTTAAACTCAAGGGGGGGGGTGTCCGATGCAGAGCGACATCGAAGTAACGGTGAGTCGGCCGAGGTCGCGGGTGCAAGCGAAATCGGGGCCACGGCGATCGAATTCCGCTCCTTGATGTTTACCAAGGGGACAGGAAGTCACAGCAATTGAAGCGGATGACTTCCTGTGGGACGGTCATGCCTTGGGAATGTGTTGATTACAGCAACAGCCTGAACAAACACGGAACAATAAATCACTCTCCCACATTGTCAAATCCTGCACGCGGCCGCGCAGCACATTTTTTATTTTGTCATGGGGAATATGTGGGTGTGCCGTGTGTGTCTATGCATGCATATGCATTAGCGCATGCCACGTATGTGCATTTATCTGCTAATGTATTAGCAGAAGCCTTGACAGAACAGCTGGCTGCTTTTGACAGCACGCCAGTGTCCACTGAATGATTGTATAGGACACTGAGGGCTGTGGGACGGCTCCCTCTTGGTCACTCGAGACCTTCACATACTCTCAGCCAGTCTGAAGCAATGCAGTGGCCATTGCCAAAACTAATGGCAGTAAAGCACCAGGGGCCGGCCTGACGCTTTGAGTGATGGACCGACCTGGCCAGGCCTCGGTCAGGGGACATAGCTGTGTAGGACTTAGCTGGAGGTGGCTAAATGAGCGTGAGAGACAAACAACATCGCTCAGAGCACAGCCCGGGTCTCTTCCACAGTGGTGGGTGTCCCTACAACAAAAGCCGGTGAAATACGGCCCTATCGTGCGGGCCGGTGTGTAAGTCATGGATCACTTGGGTTTAGCATTTCATTCCCAGACACCGGTCTTTGTCAGGGTGAAAGTGAGAAGGAACTGTCATTGCTGCTGCACAGACAGTCCTCTCACTGCGGTGGAAAAAAAAAACCCAAAAGGGACAAATTACATTCCTCGCAAACGTTTGGACTCGTGTCAAAGTGGGGCAGCGTGGTAATTTCAGCATTATCTCCACAGAGTCCACGCTCTTCTCTGTCAAGGGCGAGGTGCAGCAGGGCCGGCCCCCGATGTGACCCTGCCTGCACGGACAGCTCCAGAGGGACAGTTAATCCCTTTATCTGCGGCTTCTCTTATCTCCCACTTGCTGATGGCTGGGAGGAACCGGCTCCACTCAGGTCTGCGCAGACCCCCTGGGGCAAGCAGGGGATATCCCAGCCAAACCCTCGGAGTGAATGCAAAAACACCAGAGAGGTAACAAGAAGAAAGAAAGCTGGCGGGGCGGCGGGGGGGGGACTTAAAAACCTCCAGACAAATCTAAAGGAATAAATGACCTAACTTGACATGGGACACTGAGTCAGGGTCTGCCTCTTTGCCAAAGTCTGAGATCATAGGAAGAAAAGAGGGAGAGGAGGGAGGAGCTGAGGGGGTTTTAAATTTTGTTGTTGAGTTTCTTGGCACAGTAGACAGAGGCCTAATCGACGCCGGCTTGGCAGCGAGGCTGGGGGCTGAGGAGATCACGTTTTTGTCTCCAGGGCTGGGCTTCTTGTCTGTTTTACTTCTGTTTCATCTAGAAGAAAAGTCAACTGTACTTACATAGATCTCTGCACCGTAGAAGCCATCTTGGTACACCACCCTGTGAACGTGCGAAACAGGAAAGCACAGTTAGTTGATTTGGACTGCATCCGACCCCACCGACTCTCAGCCTTTGCCAATTTTCCTATTTTGACCATTTGCAGGTCTGTGGGGTCAGCTCTTAGCAGCTTTAGCTCGCTGTACCACAAATAATGAATGACACAAACTGAAAGGTGTAACGGTTTCACATCCCTGTCCAATTTTCTGCTCTGGTAAAATTGTTTGTCTTTCCAGTTGCTGCAGTTGCTATCAGGAGGGCTGGCGGTGGAGAGGGAGGACAAAAGAAGGCAGTGAAGGAGCTGCGTCACATGACTAGGCTATATAAATCAACCGGCTGCCATCAGCAGCAAAGGGGTCCCCGAGTGGGAAGGAGGCGAACGGGGATGTGGGATTTCCAGTCTCAGCTGCGAGTCCCACCGCACTAAGACAGATCCAGATCTAATCACAGATAGACAGCTATGGCGGGCAGCGGCCAGCCTCCGTCAGACCTCTCCCACGGCCACACAGACCAGCGCTGATAAGAGACGAGTGCGAGGCAGGCCTGCATAAAGCCAGGAGATCAGCACGGGCCCCGGTCACAGTCCAGTGAGATCTGACTGGTAATACACTATCGCAGCTCTCACCTTGACTTTGTCAGTTACTCCTTTGTCAACACACGCTGTGCAAATGTAAGGACGGGCAGGGTTCGGTTATGTATATCCGCAGATACCAAAGTTCTCTTCAGACATGTGCGCAGATAAAAAAATATGTAAAATTACAGCAGCAATGCAGCCTGGCTATGTTAGACAAGCGGGTTTCCTGCAGGAGGGCACGGTCTTGAGACGCAACAGCAAGATTTATTTTAAATTATGAGTAGGAAAGCAAAGTTTGGGCATAAATTCAGTCGGAGCATTAACAGCTCCAGCGTGTGCACTGTCGGAGCAATCTTGGGTACAGTTTCATTCATACTGCAGCGTGACAGCTATCTATATAAAAAGTGCTCGTTGTGTTCAGACTACACAGTATCAGCCCAGTTACGGCCTGACACTGATGTCGTGTGCTACTTTGCATCAGGAGGAACGGTCCACAACACGCATTTTGTCTTGATGTCTGAAAGAGTGTATAAAAGCTAAAACTCTCAGCTATGAAAAGACAAAACTTATCGTACCAGACAAAAATATCGTGCGACCCGAACCGGGCCTCGGAGGGTCAGTACTCACGCTCCGTAAGCTGGGATTGGTGGTGGAGGTGGAGCTGTGCGGAATGTGTTGTACACAGCCCGTCCCCGTCCCCGCAAGTGGGCACCCCTATAGGCCACCGTAGCGCCTGTGGCAGGGTAGGGAAACCCTGTTACTATGGAACAAAAACACACACGAGAAGAAGAGAAAATGACTTTCAGAGAACATCCTCGACTTGGCATTGCTTACCTTATGACAGAATACATTAGAGAGAGACGTGTGGCACTGCTTTCCCTATGACAGAATGCATTATAGGGAAGACAAGGAAACAATAGATTTAATCTTTTCTAGGTGCGCCTCATCGAGCACTCTCCCCTTTCCCAGCTCGCTGCTTTGTGCCGTACTCAGCAAGGATCCACATTTGCTGTACGCATCCTTTCCCGATGCCTGGTGAGGGGCAGCCTTGAAGCTGGGCAGGTAATGGATGCAATACCACTAGTTTCGCACCACGGCTTTTGCATAGTTTAGACACAATGGGCTAGCAACAAAGAGCAGCGGGAGGGTGGACGGGGTAGAGGTAGAGGGCGTTTCTCGGTGTCGGGCGGAGACGAACAGGCGGTAAAGGTTGTTGAACAACTTGACTAGACGTTCTGAACTTCCCCGAGGGGAAATGGAGCAGATGGGCAGGACAGCCAAGTCCCAAACCTCAGCATGACCCCCATCTCCAAACCCATCTGGGACCATCTTTAGCCAATCGCACAGCCACATGCTCTGTCCTCTGCTGATGGCTACCACTGAACGTGAAAAGGGTCAGTTGGGGTGAAAGGCTTCGGGGTGATGAGTAAGGGTTGGTGTGACGGTGCGACAAAATAGCCACGGTCGCAGATTAGAGGACAGCCGATGTGATCGTCAGCTCTCCACTTAACCTTCAATCGGTCCACTGGCTGTCTGATTACAGGCTGTGGAGGTGCATACAAACACACTGATCTCTAGACATGATTAAGCTGGCCTCTACTTTTCCAGCAATTGTAATTCCCTCACTGCTCCCTTCCCTCTGGTCTTCGCCCTCCCCCAACGTCTGGTCCATCACAGCACAGTCAGCCCCGTTATTCTTTATCCCCAGAAACGCCCCTTCGTCACCCTCTCCTCACCTTACTCTTCGCCTTATTCATTTCCGCGACACGCTTTGGATGAATTCATCACGGACCGCTTCACTTTCCCCAATCACAGATCACTCTGTGATGTGGAGCTCGAGTCTGATTTGGTTTGGTGGGGTGACGCGGTGCCTCGGCTGGGGTAAATAATGCGGGTTAATAACACGCATCCGGCCTGTTTCAGACGACCCGCCAGTCCCTCGCAATCTCCGACAAACTAGACTACAATGAAGATCCATGGCAGCTCGTAGGTAAGCGGTGCAGTATGGGTTTGTGCCTGGGGAGTGACAGCCTGATGGTACTCTGCCGTGTGCAGCGCCAGCCCTGCATTTGGTCGAGACCAGTGAGCACCCTAATGGACGATGCTCACCCTAGCCTCGCTGCTTCAATAAAGCTGACAGGGAGACAGATTAGTGGTGCTTTTAAAAACACAGAGAGCCCGGTTTAATGTCTTCTGCCATTAACATCACGCTCCATTAGTGGGTCCGCACACATATTCAAACTTTGCGTCTCATTTGGCCAGGTGACGCCCACACCTCACCCGCCCACCAATGTGCGGGGCGCTTTCTTTGCTGCCAACACACCCGTGGACGGCCTGGACTGGGACGGTGCCCCCTTTGCCTCCCGGGTGATTTATAACGCTGACCTTGACATTTAAATTAGTCCCTCCTTTTTTTGGAGCAGTGGACATCTGAGCGCGGCTGCTAAAGGGCAAAAACAATCCTTGATAGTTTTCGAGGTGCTTTGCCCTCTTCTTAACAAATCGCCGCTGTTTCTGGGCTCCCACAAAGCCCAATTGCTTCCTTCTCTTTTTTTAAAAATTTGTATGCAATATGCATGCGGTGATGTATGTGAATGTAAACTCATAATGAGTTGGCGATAGGCTACACTGCTTCAATAATAACCCATAAATCAAAGGCGCTGTCACACCTTGGTAAGCCCATGAAAAGCAACAACAGCAACAGCGTATGAGAGCGCAAACCTGGTCTAGCCACCAAAGTCAAACACCCTTTCCGGGAGGGGGGCTGGAGAAAATATGAGTTATGCGCTGAAGGGCGGCGGGGTCACGCTGCACCTCGTATGTCATATGTGTCAACTTGAGAGAAGCTCAATACCTGCAGAGCCAGTTGGACCCGAGGTAATCCCGCTCTGTGCCAATGATGGGGTCATAACCGGCTCCCATAAAGAAAGATCTGATTTTCCACAAGGTTGATCTCTCTAATACTTCCTGCTCAAATACATCGGGCAATGAGCACTTAATCCACGCACTGGGGACCAAAAAAACAGCTTAATCTAATCAAGAGTCTGGAGCTTAATTATCCCCCTAAAGTACACTCCAACAATGAGAGGATCTGTCTACATATGTTAAGATGGCAATTAGCCTTTCTTTTCTGTCATTTACACAGCTGGTAGCTTTTCACGAGTCCTCAAAAAAGAAGAAAAAAAAAAGAAACCTCCACCTTAGTCGCAGAAAAATATGAACTGGTGAATGAAAAGCTACTCATCTCCTGTCTTCCTGGGAATTAGCTGCCGAGAAGAGTCTCTTTGCGTTAGTCTGAGGAGAGCCGAGCCATACGAAGGGATTTCTAAGTGACAGCTGTCCATGGTGCTGAAAACATCCAGCGCAAGTTTGCCAATTGCAATAAGATGAGCTGAGAATGCAATATGCACGGGATGTGCCGCTCACCCTGACGAATGATGTCACATTAACAACAAAACAGTACAACAGAGTCCCGACATTTGTGCTGTTTTTAGCTACACGCCTACTTGCTGCATCTGTATGGATGGAGTCAGACTCTTGTCATACTATATTTGGATAGCGGAGCACAGATTCTGGGGCTTGTTCTACAAAAGTTTAGCGCTCGCTAACACAGGATAAAAATGAGCACTGGTACTGGATGCCTACCAGCTACCTCACACTATGATTTGTGCCACAGCCATGTGCTATTGCCAATCCCTCCATCTGACTGGGAACCCCACTGCCATGCCTCTTTTTCTCTGGACCACACCGCTGTCCTCTGCCACCCCTTCAGCAGGGCTCCATGGGAGGTTTGGGTATTAGGTGGCAACGGAGAACACGGACCCACGTTTGGAGCTGGCTGCCAGTACCCTACCGAGAACCCTCCTACCCCCTCCTCCACGCAGAGGAGGAGCCAATCTACCCTGGAAGAGGTTAAGAGCGGGGAGCCGGTATGAGGCTCTCATCCGTCATTCTCCTGAATGGGTTTTGAGGACAATAAACCTGTAGCGCCAGGACGAATGGAGACGAAGTGCGCTGTCACCGAGCCAGGATTTATGGCTACCAATTTCACTGATCTCCTGCACAGAAATGAGGACTGATAAACAGTGATTAATCGCCTTTATATCCCATTTTACTCCCACCAAAAGTATATTAACTGTAGCTGTGATGATTTTGGAAAATGTCCTGAATGTGGTCATCTTTTTTTTCTTTTTTTTAAAGGAAGAGTAGAAGAAGAATGCAACAGTCAACAAGCTGGTCAGAGTTTGTTTTTTAGCGAGTTAAAACAGCCTTTTGCTGCTCATTAGGGAGGTTTTGTTTCAAAAATGTATCTCTTATTTATGTTTCCCATCTTCCCAGCTGGCAAGCATATGTTGTCGTTTAGGCTTGGCAAACTCCAGCGCCATGTCAAGACGACTTGAAAAATTAGCAGCCAATAAATCACCCAACCCCTCCTGCTTCCCCTGCCTGGAGTGGTGGACCACACTCCCTCTGATTTATGAGATGATTTGGGAAGTGTGTGTGTGAGAGAGAGAGAGCGAAGTGGAGAGTGTGTGCATGGAAGAGGGGACATGTATTTGAGTCTGTGCTCTACATAGGTTATCTATTTCTGTGTGCTGGAGTGCTTTGGTCTAAGAAGCAGGGCAGGTGTTAGCGTTGCGCGTGGATATGGGTCAAGTGAAATTATTGTTTACGTAAGCTGAGACTTACTTAACGTCCCGATTTTCAATTTAGAGAAAAGGCGCCACGTTTTTTGTGCCTGAGCGTGCAAGAAGGAGAGGGACGAGCGTACGTTTGTGTGTGTGAATAATTATCGGCAGGAGATGTCGAAACTAAAGGAATGTTGGTGGGGGGAGGTGGGGAGTGGGAGGCTCGGGAGGAGGCTCGGAGGGGGCGAGGGGTTGGGGATGAAATAAAAATGATAGATGACTGCTTTCTGTCATGGACAGTTATTTAGAGGTTCGCCGTAAAGCTGTCCGGGGAATGAACAGATTTTAGTCTAATGAGCAGAAAGGAAAGCCGTTAAAGTGGCGCGATGTGCTCAGCACTTCTTCCAAATGAAATAGTACCATTTCCCCCTCATTAAAATGCAAAGGGTTCATATAACATACAGCAATAAAGCTGGCATGTCGAGGCAGAGAGAGATAGGGAAAACCCCACTGAGCTCATCTCATTCCTCCATTACCGAGACCAGAAGGAATAGCGGCCTTCGACAGGGTAGGTGCCAACAATATCGCTCACTCAATCTCCTTTATTCGGTTAGCTCTGTAAAAGTCAATCTGGCGCACTTGGCAAATCCATCCACAGCAGCAGCCTCCACAATCTGATAACAGTTGCAGGGGCGCTTGCTCTCGAAATCATTTTTTTTCCAGCGTTACAGTTGCACACCGCGCAAACAATGGCTCAGGCTCCCTCAGCCACTCAGAGAGGCTTGGATCATCCACTGCTTATCTGAGCCGCTCTCCGATTCACTTTGATTCGAGGGGAATTTCATGTTCAGTAGGTTCAGGATGAACCTGATTGTAGAAATTCAGGGGTCAGACTGGGACAGGCGGTGGCTGATAGCGGCCTCGGGTACGGTGCGATGCGTACAGCGGGAGGTGGAGAGAAAAACACAGAAAACGGCTCTTACCGGCATACAGTTCAGGACCGTAGACAGCTCCGACCACCGGATTCAGCTTCCAGCCTGGTGAGAGGACCGAAAGAAAAACTTGACTCACAGCGACGACTACGAGCGAACTCTTATCGTTTAGTTTGCCACTCACCGTTCGTGTACGGGTTGGCCACTTTTTTGTTTGTCATCACTCGTGCTGTCGCGTTGTTCACCTGTTCCAAGCAGCAAACACAAAGCCTGTGATTACTGACCTTTACATTTACCATCCGCGTATCCACGGCGAGCTACAAGCGAGCAGCAAACCAAGATGAATAAAGACGGATTCATAAAATAAATGATTATGTAAATTTGTTTGTAGCACTTTAGTGTGATTGAGTTTTGGTTCGCCCTTTCATGAATTTATTCATCATTTCAATTTTCTTACAGATGATTATATTACTGGAAAGAGAGGGAAAGCATGCACCAATTACCCACAGGTATGAATAATAATAATAATAATAATAAAAAAAAGCATCCTCAGAATTGGTTGGATAAACAAATGGATTCCAAAAGCAAAACACAGACAGTGCTTTGATTTTCTTCTATTGACCTGATGAGAACGGCCGAGTGCGGGCTCGGCTCGTCGTAAACAAAAACAGAATTAGAGCAGGCAACACTAAACGGTGGCGATAGGGGAATGCACGACTGATGGCATGCATTCACTCTGCGTTGTCAGGTAATGATGGACAACTGGTGTTGACGTGTATGGATCCCGCATTCTGCCGAGAAGGATTTAAACGCACCGTCATGCATGCATACATTCAGGCACCACACGCACAGACAGAGCAGCCGCATGCTTATGCAGAGGTTTATGGGTAAGTTGAGAAGGCAGCAGGCAGGCAGAAGAGAAGATGAGAATAAAGGGAAAAATGAAAGCACCTCTATTTTGCGTCCCTCTACGATTGTACCGTTTAGTTTCTCCCGTGCACGATCAGCATCTGTGCTTGTTTCAAAAGTTACAAACCCAAAGCCCTGAGAGCACCACATTAGCCATTGGTAGAGAGACAAAGGAGAAGGAAAAGATGGACACACACACAGAGGAGGAAGAAAAGGGAAGGGAGGAGAAAAGGGAGAGAGAGGTGAGAAGACAGGAGTAGGTGAGCAGCAGAGTCGAGTTGTAAGCAGCCAGATTAATTAGAGGCAGTTAGTGAGGCGTCAGGAAACAGCAAACAGAGAGATCCGAGGAGAAGAGGATAACGGTGACGTGACCTCACACAACAACACCAACAAACCTGCCTGCTTTACCCAATTAAACAGCACAGCACCGGTGCCATGGGTGAATGTCAGAAAGCAGCGGCTGCCATAATAGTCGTATAATTATCTACACAACTTCAGCGGCACAGCCGCCGTCTCCCTTTGAAGGCGTGGGCAACGGCAGAAGGAGTGAGGATGAATTCTCTGAACAGACACGTTAACTTGATCTCTGGCTGTTTCTTATTCACTGCACTAATAGGTGGGCCATTTTATGGAGGCGAAATTACACCGGCTCATTGATGCAACAAAAAAAAAAAAAAAAAAGTGAATGGTGTCATTGCAAATATGCTCGTCTGTGATAGAGAAGAGCTCCGATATTGACTTTAAACCCCGACCAAAATATACCCAACCTCTCCAAACTCACTCTCTCTGCCTGCCTCCCCTGGGGGGTTTGTCACTTCCTTGAGTTATGTGGACTGGGATACTGGACTCTCTATAGCGCAAGCTTTAAGATATTCTGGCCAAACAAGTCCCATTCCTGTGGTTTCTATATATACCTATAGAGGTATAGGCTGAGGGAGAGAGAGCATGGCCGGCGCTGCCTGATAATTGCTTGAGGATGTAATACATGTGAGAGATGGCGAGCGGAGTGATCTTGTATGCATACGCAGGATCTCCGGGCTGCTATTTCTAGCATAAATAACACGCGACCTGTCCTTGGGGAAAGAGAGATAAAGAAATAAATTCAAAAAAGGAATTGAGAGCAAAATTAATCCTTTGGACATTCACCCGACTGTGGTTACCCCCTCTATCTTTTTTTTTATCATGCACAAATAATTAGCTTACAAGAGCACAGAGTGGAGCCACCATTTTTCAAAGGAGACAAACATATTGAATGCAAATTGCCAAAGCTTCATAGGAAATAGATTGTTTATTAATGGCCTGGTAGGTTCATTATATAGCACACAGAGTGCAAGAGGGAGAGAGGCATCATGGGTAATGGCTTTGTAGGGCACAAACAATAAATGCTTGTTACGGGCGGAGGAGACCGGTTTATCCGGTGCTCAATCTTGTCTGGCAGAAGGGGCTGAGTGCAGCAGCGTCGCCTGGTTCCGGGGCTCCCTGCACGCCTGTATACGAGCCCAAAGTACTCCCAGGTATGAATGGGAATCAATAGCATTCATGCCTCAACACCCAGCCAGGGAGCCTGTCGCCTTTATGAATGGAAAGCTGTGGAGCTTAGTACACTCTATTAAATGAACAGCTGGATGAGTAGCTCTCGGCTGCTCACACCTCCGCAGGCTTCACCTGTCCTGGTTGGGAGACTGATACTGCAGTAACGCATCAACGCTGTGGCCATTTTTCTGGCGGCTGGTTGGCGTGTTTACGAGTACAAATTATCTTTGAGACAAATGTAGAAATGATCCAAGGTGTGCAAGTTCACAATGTTGTTTAAGGAGGCGCAGCTTGAATTATAAGCAGTATTTCTTATTTTCTGCACGGGTGACCTTTAAGAACACTGCTGTCTGCATTCTGCCTTTTTCTTTGTCGGCAAATTGTACAAAAAGACAAAACTAAAGTATCGTGCTTCCTTGTATATCCCTTTGCCGTCCATGAATTATTAAAAACACATCACAGAGTCACCGCAAAGACCCACTGCTTACACATACACTGCTCTGCTACTGGAGATTGTCACCTGAGCACCAGGTCTGCAGCTGAAAATAGTCCCCAGCAGTAGTATTTACTTCCCTTTAAGTCATGTTTCTTTTCAAAAACATCTTAAATTAGGGTTTTGGTTTGTGGCCTTTTTTAGTTGTTTTGCACTTTATTTCCTCTCACTATAAACTTCTTTGCTGATGATACTGTGATATATGCCCCAATCCTGTTCCTGCAGAGTTACTGATTCAGTCTTCTAATGATGTTTTGCAATTACTGCAGCCTCCTTTAAAATGCCTACCAACTGTGTGGCATTCTCCACCTTGGTATATGACTCTACCTGTCCTAGACTTTAAATGGTACTAACTGTTAAATTAATTGATGTTAAATCAATAGGTTGTTAATGTGTAACTATACAAATGTAGGATAATCTCCACATCTAAAATCTTTCCAAATTGCTGCAGAGAGAAAAGAAAAAGAGAAGAGATGGAGTTAGAAAGCCTCGCTGACTAAATTCATGAGGACGACGACCGGAGAAAGAAAAAATTATAGTATTAAGTTGTGTTTAAGAAACACAAACAAACAAAATGTATAATTTTTAAATGTTTCTACTAGTTTCCTATAACACACAGAGTAATCTCTATTATCCAGCCATCTGTCAGTAAACTTGAATCTACACATTTCTAATGACGAGTGTTTCTATCATTGTAAGTCATCAGGGGCAAAAGCTTCACATTTTAGTATTTTTAATATAACTTACAACAGTTAAGTTAATGTAGCCTACTGTGCATGTTAAGCACTTTTTACACATATATAAAGCACAGGCAGTCACACACAATAAAAACACTCAATTAAAGATTTCTATTCAACATCAAACCAACTCGTAAACACAAACGTCCACAGCCTGTCTTAGACAATCGAGATATTCAGTATTGTTCTGTGGGCCCATCAGCACTCCGGCAATTAAACCCTTCATCAGTTTTATTATTTATCACACTTAAATCTAATTAAACATTCTCATGCACTACTCTGGGTAAAAAAGGTTTCAGGTACTGCAAACGAACCTCAAACCGGAGACCGACGTTCCCCTTAGAGCTCCTAAAGCTTTATTATCTGATGTTTTTTGCTGCTGTTTTTATTAATTCCTTGTTTATTGTGTTCTTTTGTTTCTGCCTGCTCATTGTGTTCCTGTTAATGTTTTTGTTCTCCCTTGAAAAACAGATTTTAATCTCAATGAGAATGTCTGAATACATTAAAATTAAAAAAAAGAAAAAAAGATAATGGCCCGATGTATTGCAGAGGTGTTTTTTTTTTCTTTTCTAATAAAGTTTGTATCCTTCTTTTAAAGACGTTCAACCTCGGCACAAACCAGCAAGCTGCGACCCGAGTGACACAGAAGTCAAAGAGCCCAGAAACACCGCCAGTCCTCACCCCAACCAGTTTCTTTAAAATAACTTGTGGCCAATAGATGAAGCTCTTTTTGCCCAAAGTTGGACAAGTGTGTTAAAAGTAATAGATGTAAGAAAGAAGGGGAACGTCTACACAATCTTAAGCTTCACTTTAATAATTCAATTCTCTTGGAGGCAGCGTTTCGATCTGCAGGTTCTTCTCCAGGCGTGTATTTTCATAAACGTGGTATTAGCCTTCAAATTCATTTTAACTAAACTACATTTATTTGGTAAATATCACAAAGAACTTTGTTTTTCATCCGGTCTGAAACAAAATGATAAACCTGAATAATGTAGGACCTTTTCAATCAATGCCCAGGCTTCAAAGAGGACCCCCGTCTCTAAACAAGCAGTTTCAATTCCATATGCTGGAGGACCTGCAGCCTGTTGCTGGATTAAGTGAAACGTGAAACAGCTCAATAATGAATTGATTGACAGGGCTAATGATTCACAACTTGGGGGAGAGCTGCAACAAACAACAAAAACAATAGGGAGAGAGAGACAGGAAGGCAGTGGATGCAGCTCTCCAGGACCAGGCTTAGAGACCACTACTCTCAGCCAATGTACACACTACACTAATGCCATCATTAGGAAACAGAAGAAGTACATGGTAATGAAGCAGCTGGCGTTCTAGTTCACTTACCTTGGATCCTCGCTCATTAAAGATAATCTCCACATCTAAAATCTTTCCAAATTGCTGCAGAGAGAAAAGAAAAAGAGAAGAGCAGAGAAGAGATGGAGTTAGAAAGCCTCGCTGACTAAATTCATGAGGACGACGACCGGAGAAAGAAAAACCATTAAGGCAATATGGAAATGTTACTTTTGTGAGGAAATGGTGGTCAATTTGCATTTGTTAGCTCAGCAAACACTTCTTGAAGCTCGCTGGCGTGGTTTGAAAAGAGAACTCGTAGCTGCTGCCGCTGCAACGCGTCTCTGCGCGTCTATCGGTACTTTACGAAATGAAATCACAGTATTCGTAAAAGTTCTTGATCTGTGATTACGTGGCAGCGTTTATGATGTAAGTTTGCTCGCCTGTTTCGACACAAAGAGAAGAGCGGCGTCGGACGGTGTTTTGATGTCGTCTTGAGACGCGGACCCCGACACCTCCGCGATCACCTCGGGGAAACTTGCTCCTTCGAGTCTTGTGAAGAGTTTAGTTGATTATTTCTACCTTTCTCTCTGTTTATAGAGCCTCCTTCTCTTCTATTCTTTATTCTCTCATCCTCTCTTTGTTTGTGTGCTCTCGCAGTCAACAGGACCTAAGGGCCGGTCCCCGGGGGTTAACACACTGCAGCCTTTCGATTTTAACAGGCCTGCCTTCGGATCATTAGAAAACAGAGGAATGAAAGTAAACTGTAAGTTCCTCTAATGAGTGGAGTGAGAGCGACTTTTAATTGCTGTCTACAATGGCTGTATTATTTCATTAAAAGTAATTACCCTGTCAAGCGGTCCGCGTCGCCTTCATTTCAGCACAACAGGGAAGAAATGGGCCTTTCCATGTGGTCGACACTCAATGGGAATGGATGGATCGTTTGACTGAGCCACTAATAGGGGTTAGGAGGAGCCGGCTATTATCTGGCTGGAGTGAGTGGAGTGGACTCCAGGAGATGAGCGTTTATGGGTTAGCGGGAAAACGTATGTTTCCCCTCATTTCAAAGAACGCAGCAAGCTCAACGCACCAAGTCGCCAAGCCAAAAACAGGCTTTGTCATTTAAATCCACCTCTGTTTCCACAGGGCGTGTCCTCTCCCCTATGCGTCTGCTCGTGTTGAAACTAGTTCTATAGATCCTAGACGCACATCTGCTTCATATGGCGCTCGGCTCCATTGATTCGAATGGGGAGCGTTGGCTCGATCACGCACGCAGGCATTTATATCCCAGCGTGATGCCCCTTTCTCGCCTGAGAAGACAATGCTTCCCCCACGCAACGTGCAGATGCTAATTGTTTTAACCGAGCGTAATGGGCTTGTGGCGTCGATTAATTAGTTTCAGAGGAAGTCATCTTTGTGGATTTCCACATGGCGCTGGGGACTGCTCGCTGCTCACCAGTGATCTCATGCACTTCTATTCCCACCCACCTACTTGCTCTCAATCTCTCTCTCACACACACACACACACACACACACACACACACACACACACACACACACACGGGGAGAAACAGCTGCATCAGCAGCCCCAATAAACAATAGCTTCAATGGGAGGAGTCTCCAGAGGGAGGACAAGGGAGAGACTGATGTCATCTAGGAGGCTGCAGCTACATGCATCCATCCATAGATTAGAAAAACCATCCAATATCTGTATGAAAATAAAAAAGCATTAAGAGAAGCATCGAATGATGATACTGGGGGTTTGCATGTTTTATCTCATTTATCAAACTCGTTATGTTTCAATTACGGCTTAACTGGAGCAAATCATTCCCGTGCTTTTGAGACATTTGAATGTTTTTATTTGGTTTCGCATTTTTTTGTACATTATAATCTGCCCTCAGTACATAATGGCGTATGGTGATTAAACAAAAATATTAGTGACTGATACATCTGCAGTTATTTTTTTATTTTGCTGGTTTTGTGTTCTGCTTCCTAATTAAAGTGCAATTACTCAATAGAGCCACAAGAGGGAGTCTACTTCGGTTTTGTTGAATTGAGCTAGATTGAAGAGTCGTGCATAGACACGATTAACAAATGTCGTGTTGTTGTCCTGTCTGTGTTACGTAAACAAAGCACCCGCGTGGAAGCCTGCTCTGAGTAAGTTCAGTGCTATCACGGAGCTTATGCTACGTAACCAAGCTGTTTGTTTTCATCAACGCTACCACGTTTCAGGTCGTGCACCCTAAATATTTACGGATCAGAGCAGAATAAAAATAGGATGGGAAATGTACCAAGTAGTTGCAGCAAACAGCTCCTTTTTCCGAGGCTGATCGTGCAGCACCCCCAACTTCTGGGCAATCACTTCTGTTCACATTGGTGATGGCCACAGGTTGACCGGTGCAAGGCATCCTGCCTCCAAACAAGAGCGCTACGACTTGGACTGATTGCCGACAGCTGCGTCACTGAGTTTCTGTTCCAAGGTTCTGGCTGAACTGAATGCAAGTCGTTACTGTGTTTTCTGTTTAGTGTGAACGTCTGTTTTCGGCAATTTATTCATCGTATTATCACAAACTGATTGCACGTAATTGCCAACCTGACCCCATTCAGGTTAGCAGTTAATTGGGGTCAATTCCCAACTTGAATGGCCAGCTTCAATTGCAAACTGATAACAGACTGACACAGTCTTATTGCATTTTTATCAGCGTCTCGATGCATGAATTTGATGACGACAACCGACTTCGACGACTGTCAGAGATGTTCTGTGCCGCTGACCATTTCAAAGGGGATGACACTGCACCAAGGTTTTGTGGTAGCGTGACTGCACCATTAAGAACACAGGTCGTGCTTGTATGTTCAATAACAGGGCTGTAACTTGACTCTTGGGTGCTTTTCCATTTATTTTCTTTGTAAACCACAAAAGAAGAGGCTACTCGGAAACAGCTCTGGCTAGACAGCGTCTGTATTTTAAGAACACTAGTGTTTTTGTCTTTCTGCACTTGGAAGTGATAATCGACTATATTTACTAGACCTCGAGCTTCCAAGTGTGGAAGCAACAAACAAGATTGAGGCCCTTGTGCCTCCACCTTTGATTAGCCTGAATATCTTTAAGCTCTTCAGAAACCTATAATTACGCTACGGCGCCCTGTGTATTCAAACAGAGCAGGCCCAGGCGCGGTGACAGTCGGAGTGGTGGTGGTGGGTGGGGGAGTGCAGAGGTCCTGATTGCTCTGGGGAGCGCTGCGAGAGCCCTTACGCTCGCTGCAAGAAGCACTGCTGAAGAACCCAGTCACACAAACGAGGGCACCCTCAAGCAGCGCAGCATGGGCGCCGCGCAGAGCTCACTCGCGCTTGGAGTGTTTTCATTTCCCCCACACTTACTCACTCTCAGAGATCACAGTTTCTAATTACTGATTAACGTCCGCTGCGGTTGCCCTAATGAGGCCTTCATTCAGCGCCTCGTTAAAAGCTCACAGGTTTCTCCACACCCTTAACCCTGTGATGTCAGGGTGGATTTCAGGCCCTCCCTTCTCGTTTGAACGCCGCCTACCGTTGTCGAAACCTTCGTGGCGCTCAGCGGAGACAGTTTCCCCGTGCCGTGTGGGAGCAGATGGAGGCTCCTGGTGGGGGCTTTGCTCTGCTGTAGACGCCTTCTCTAGTGAGCCGTGCCGCACTTCCACTCTCTCTCTCCTCTGTCTTCCCGCCTGCGTGTCTGTGGCCTTCACTCATGCGTAACAGTAATGGCGTATTGAGCCGGTGGCGCTCCAGAAGCCATTAGAGCTAGAGGGATGAGGCTTTGCACGTGCTGATCGCACAAAGGCCCATTGTGGAGGCCATGTCAGAGGGTGGAGCAGACCAGCTATCGCCTCGCCAAGCTCGACCCAAGACAATTGATCCCACAATTCTCTAGTGTGCCAACCACCAAGAATGAAAGGAAGGTGCAGGTAAGAGGAGGGAACGGGCAATGTGGGTGAGAAGGGTGATTGAGGGGGACTGGGTGGGCTGTGATCAATTCTGTATCATATATCTGCACGAGCCAGTCAGGCACACAAAGCTTCCAAGCTAATTACTGAGGTGATTTGGATTCCACACGACCTGCACCAGAGCTGGGAACAATAAAGCCAACAATCAGAGAGAGAAAGAGAGAGCGAGCACGCAGCCATGTTGTCTGCAATTTATAAAGCCACAGCCACGGCTCGCGAGTAATTAATATCATCAGCTGGATGTTGTCTTCATAACGACGAGAATTAACGCCTCTGGATTCTAATGGTCCAATTAGCGCATAACATTTAAAGTACATTTTTGGCAATCGTCTCCATTCAGATCCATTATCGTTATTGAATAGGGGATGTTTGGTTCAATTGGTATCGAGGCTTTTGTAAGACACGAGGGTGAGCTGTTGAACTGTATATATTGGCTCATTAATTGCAAAGAGACAGAGAGAGAGAATTTCTGTGGTGGACCTCTCGTATGTTGATATGTAATCTCATTGCATTTGTCAGCAGCTGACCGTTCTGTGTGTAACTTCTAGAAAATAAGACTGTTTAATGACCTGTGGAGACTACCCATTGTATACGCTCTGATATACGAGAACAAAACAGAAACAGAAATTAAAGTTAAATCTGTTTCCCCCCCATTTTCTTTGTATTTGTCCTCATATTTTACGATTAAAATTACCCTCACGTCAGTTGTTCAGGGGACACGGTAGCCTAAAAAAAGCCCGACAAAGCGAGCCGCAGCTCTCTGGGAGAGCAGACAAAGATGAAGAGTAAAATCATTACCGCACCGGGCTCCTCTAACTTCTCCCCAGTGCCCAACCTGCAGTGCAGCGATGAGTTCAGCACCTGATTGGGACTGATTGAGCTGTTTGCTTTTAAAAACTCAGAAGACACTCCTCCTTCTCCCCCTTCTGACAATGTAGTAATCAATGCATTAACTAGATGACAGTTTAAGCGCTGGCTTTGCTCATTAAATACGCGTCCTGTTGTGTGGTTTAGATTGTTTTCCCAGAAGCTTCATACTCACTTTAATAAAGATATAATAATTTGCTCTGACTTTAGAGGATGCGCTCTTTAATTAGGGTGAGGTGGGACCGCTCAAGAACAACAACTGCTAGCATGTCAGATTCTCGAGTGCTGACCTTTAACTTTACATCCAAATACAATGTTTTTCATATATTCTGCAGAAACTTTGCTGTCGGTTTGGTTACCCGAGTGAGCCTGTGTGTTTCAGGCTTTGTTGTAGGATCGTTCTTCACATTGCAATAAACAGTACATACACTAATACAACAGGAACCTTCTCCAAGTGCCAGATTTTTGATTAGTTTTGTTTGCAGGGAAACTATTTTTAAAGATGTCCCTACTTGCACAAGTGGACCCCGAGCATTCTGATTGGTGGAAGTGTCCTGCTAGTTATTATATCTAGTATCTCCCAGTTTTGGCAAAAGCATGAAAAAAAAAACCCAAAACAACCCCCAACCAGTCACAGCTATAGCTGCCCAGAGCTCGGCTCTGCCGGAGGTCTCTTCCTGTTTAAAAAGAACTTCTTCCTCCCCACTGTCGCCACATACTTGCTCTGAGCGGGTTATCAGATCGTTGGTGTTCTCTGTCTCTCTAATATTGTCGGATATTTAATTACAAATAAGTTAAACCACAGATATTTCATGTAACGTTAAGACTCATCCCGTCATCTGTGGTCGAGCAAGACGGAGCGTGGCATCAGCGAACACAAAGAAATGCATCAGGAAAATAAAACGGCATCTTCTGATTGTTTCAAAGCATTGCTGTATTACACGTGCATGTAACTGAAGGGCTTTAATCTATTTAATGTGGCTGCTCTGCTGTGTGTGTGTGTGTACTGCAGCTCGGCTCTGCCATCCGAAAGAAATGCAGATCTGCAGCTTGGACCCAAACACGGAGCAGAGGAGAGAGACAGAGACTTCTAATGTGGCTCCATCATGTTGGTGCAGCATAAACATGCAACATGTTTACAAAGGTGCCCAACAGACCAATGATGTTCATGCCTTTGTGCTTTATAGTTACACTTCCCACTGAATTAAAAAGAAATCCAGAAGCAACAAGAATTAATCTGATCACATCCCAGTAACAATGAAGATATGGTTTAAGTAATATAACCCCCACCATAAGATAAAAGCAGCGAGAAAGTCATTTATGTAACTTGGGGGGGAAAAGCAAAAACATTTTAGTTCCTTGGAAAAAGCTCCTGGGATTCAAAGTTCTGGATGGAAACGAGGCAACGGCAGAGCCAAGGTGTGATATTTTGAAATTTTTCTCCGAGGTACTCACCCCAAACATTTGCCTTAGGTCAGGGTCCCGGAAGCGGAAGGGAATGTTGGAGACATGTAACCTTTTGGGCTGCTGCTTCTCTGAAGAGTCTGAGTGCTGGAGCTGGAGCTGCTGAGAGCCCTCTGTTTGCGTCACATCATCTGTCTGCCAGAGGGAAACAAACAGAGGAAAGACACAAGCTGCTCATTAGCTGCTACAGTATACTGTACCTCCTGGTCATGAAGTATAGGAGAAGAGGGGGTTGAAACAGGAGGGTGGCAGGGTACGGGGCGGGGTGGGAGGCCTGGCTGACTGACTTCCTCGGCGTCTGCTATTTTTCAATCAGGCGAGAAAGCCAAAGCGATAAACAGCCTATGACTTATAGTGTCAAACCTGAGGTTGTGCATTACAAATCCACTTATTAATCTCTTGCACTTAGCTCTTGAGCAACAGGGAAGATTGAAGGCGCTGACAAAAAGGCGTGGATATAGATCCCACAGAGCCCTGACATGTCTAGACTAAAGACACATTATTGGTGACGTTTGCACACAGCCATCAGAGTGCGAGGCCCAAAGCCCTCAGCGTTGTTGTTTCCATCATTATGCGAATGCTGCGCTGACATTTCTATATAAATGACGTGTCTGATGTCAGTGACAAATTCCACTTGTTTCTTTCTGTGACACCCGTGATGAATTTCACCGAGGGTGCTGGTGGCTTGTCTGTTTAGATGGACCTCGTATTTGAGGCAGTTTTATTTTCTATGGACCAAACCTCATTGGTTAACTGCTCAGCTTATCCTCCCTTCGTATGCACTGCTCTGACATCGGTCCGTCTTTGTATTTGGTCAATAGGTTGCCGGTAGGTGTTTTCTGAAAATGTGTTTTATGCAAATTGATCAAATGAGTGGTTTCTGACCTGCTCGCTCTGTGGTTAAAGTTTAAGCCACTAAACATTTGGCTAAAACTATCAAAATATTCGTTTTAGATGGTAACAAACAGCATCAGTATATGAGCAGCAAGTATCGAGCTGGAGCCAGAAGCATAGACTGCATATAAAAAAAGGATGTTAGCTGTTGTTGGTTTGTTTTTTACATATGCCATTTTTGAGTGGATTCCTGTTTTAAAACATTTGGTTTGAGATTTAGAAATGTTGACATCCACTGGGATGCGTGCAACCTAAGGATGGATCCTCTTTCTGTGGAATATTCAATGACTTTGCATATTAAATAAAAACAGCCCATCATAGAAGAACTGTAAGGCCTGATTTGAAAGGTAACATCTTGATGTTTCTCTAACTGTGCTTGTTTAGCATGTAGCTGAAACACAAACCAACCGATGTGTTTAAAGTCGTGCTTGAAGGCAGGGTTGGGAAATGTATTTTCCCAAGAGGCCACATGAGGAACTGGGACTCTTGTGGAGCGTCGCACCGATGAGTTTGCAAAGAGGGAAAATTAATAGTGAGCAGAACTGAGTTCAGCTTATTGGTGTGGCCCTCCACGAGAGTCCCAATTTCTCATGCGGCCTCTTGGGAAAATAAATAGACCAGTCCTGCTTTTAAAGCCTACTCTGCTTTATGTTCTGTTTTACTCTAAACGGAGCCATCATTTACAAAATGACCATCAGGCTGTGAAATGACAAAAATAAAATTAGGGGTTAATTATGCAGAGAATAAATCACAAGTCAAATCAGCATTTTCTCATCGATTCTGTAAAGTCTGACATCTTTTTGTCGAAAGGTGAGTCGCTTCCTGCTGGCCATTAAACAGAATCCAGGTTAGCTTAGCATAAAAAATAGAAGTGCAGCTGTTCACCAAACAACAGAGGTGCAGTGACGTCCTGGGGTTGTGACAGTGGTACGATATCACTGCACCAGGAAACCTACACTAAACTCTATCACCTCACACTAACTGGGCACATGAACAAAGTTGTGTTTATTCACCAGAAAGCACAAACATGAGCTGTTATGCACAAAAAATAAATAAAGTATATATTAAGCAAAATAAACACGAATGATCTTGTTTTTCTGGTGACAGTGATCTGCATGGTAAACAGGTGAGGTACACATGGGGGGGTGGGGGTCTGCATGCACTGGCGTCATATGAAACACGCTGGTAATAAAGGGTCACACACAAACACACACAGCGTCGTAGGTGTTGGCATTTCTATACTTCAACTCTGGAAAGTGCCGACTGTTAGTGAGCGAAAAGAAGTGAACTACAAGCCATTCACTACAATTTCAAATAAAGTTTTAGTGTGAAGCAGCACTGCACAATTCCTATTTGTCTCTCAGAGAGGAAAAGTAATTGCTCTCATGACCACAAGAGGTCACTCATCAAGAAAAGATAAATGCTGTGGTTTTTTTGTGTGTTAGAGACAGTGTCCATTTCTCAAAAGCAAGCATATTAAAAAAAACAACAACAATAAAACGAAGGCTGATTTAGAGCCAGAGCCTCTGGTAAGATACTAAATAAAGAAACGGCGAGAGAGGAGAGGGGAGAACGAGCAACGAGAGAGTGGAAGTGGCAGATATTGAGAACAAAAGCTGTTTGAATGTGATATGTAAACTGCCAGGTCTCCTGGGAAGTGCTCTCTGAGCATGACACACACACACTATGCTCTGACTGGGAAGTCACATACACGGATGCAATCTTGTACTGATACAGGCGTGAAAAGAGAGTAGGCCGTAGCCAGAGTACAAGCGGTTCAAATGACACGCACGCACACGCCGATAACCCTCACGCCGCTCCGAGGCTGTCAGATGGCTGCAGGCCTCTCGTAGTGATACATTTCCCACCATTTAGGAAATGGGGTAGGGATTTATTCATTATAATTCATCATCACAGTATTATCATTATCATCATGATCGTAATGATGATCGCCTTTATTATTCTCATTATCATAATCACAATCTCCACTGTAATGGCCGTCATTTATTTGGTTTTTATGGCCCATTCCGAGACGGTGACATACATTGTTAGCAGTGACAGTTGTTTGATTCAAGGTCCCGCTTTGTCTTCCCCTGCAGCCGTACAGGTAGGGCGCACTCGTGGCGGCGGCTTCCTAAGTCCCGCCTGCTCTGGACGCTGTTCGGACCAGAGGTTAACAAGTGATAGAGGACGCGAGAGGCGGGAAATGCACTCGGTCGGCCGGCCGGCTACTAAGGAGTGGATTTGTGACAGAGAGAGACGGGTGGACGGGTCTTAACTCTGCCGTGTCCTCGCGCGCTGGAGGTTAATAGCCTGAGTAGCCATGTTGGGCCCCGGGGGTGACACATTGCAGACAGATGCCGGGACCGTGGAGGGTGACAAGGTACCACAGCCCCGCGGGTCAATCTGTTTCATCGGTCACACATGACACTATCGACCTTTAGCGTATGTTGCCAGACTACAGAGCACCGCTGTCCTCCAGCTCCTCCGCCCGGCTTTTTATCACGGCAGGCGCAGTCGCGTGTTTGCAGACTTCCAGATTAACTTTGGCTCGACGCTCTGACAGGCCAGCGGCACACCCCGACACCGGGGGCAAGTACACATATGGAGAACACAAATACTGAACGCCGACTCCCGAGCGCCTCGGACCGCGTCCTGCTAGCTCAGTAACTCCGAGTGTCACCGCGATCCGCGACGGCTGCCTCTGCACGTTGCTCCCGAGGCTCCGACCTGCCTGGTTGTGAGACGCTGGTGCAGCAGTGGAAAATAATTACTTCCGTATTACCATAGGAGGCCACCTTCAGCGGCGCTTTACTGTCCCGACAGCTGCTGTCACGGGCAGGAGGCGGCGGGATGCAAAACATGCCGTCACCGCCAAAGCCAGCAAACCTAAGAGTGAGAGAGCTGTCAACTCCGGCAACTCTCCGGCTTCCTGTTCAGTCATTTCTCTAAAAGACTCCCTTGCTGTTATTTGCAAATCGCCTGCAAAGTGCTCTGCTCAGCACTTTCCCCCTCCTCGCAGAGTGGCATTACAAGAGCATAATTGAAACTATCTGATTGGAATGCTGCCAAGCAGGTAGATTACATCCGATTAAATAGGAGCTGGGGTGGGGGGTTTCTGAGTCTTCGCTCTCAAGAATTATAATGCCAGAGGTTTAATTCATTATTTTCCTTTTCCAGTCCTTCGCCGTTTGTTTTCTTTTTCTAAAGAAGCTGCAAATATAACCTTTCCATCACCTGAGAGAGCAGGGAGTTAAGTGTGGAGTGGAGGATCAGCCCCCACCACCATCTCCCTTCGATTCATATAAACAAGTCCGAGATGGAGGAGTCATTTTCAGCACGCCGGCAACACCGAGACCAATAGATTGTCTTTTGCGATAGGCCGTTTCGGCGCTAATAAAGCTCAGAAACGTGAAAGTCTCCTCTCTCAACTAACTCTGCAGAATCAAAAGCTCAAAGCTGAGAAGCCCACTTCAGCTCTGAGGTATGTTTTGGTTGGTAAGAAGCATCAGTGGGGATAAATTTTACATTTAGGGTTGGGCTCACTTGCATCGGGTTTGACAGCTAATCCAAACTGTATCACTGCACTTGAGGCCAAGGAAAATATCGATGACGCACGTGTAATGCCCTCGTGGCAGCCGGTGTGAAAACCACACACACAAGACTGATGCTGCCGGTGTGATGTCACCCACTACGTTATGGATTCTGCATTTTAAAGGCCGGACATTAGTGTTTTGGCCGCTTCCATCTCGCTTTTCTTGAGCCAGAAGCCACATTTAGACCCGCGGGTGAAGTGCCAAGTTATCAGCGAAGGCTAGCGAGCTAATGTGACAAGCTGCATTCATTAACTGTACAGGTGCATCGCACAGACAGAGATATCTGCTTTTAGCGTGTTAAGTAACAAGCTAAGAAAGGGTACTAAAACACTATAGTCACCAAAATTGGAGCACAGACTTCTTGGACCATCTGGTGGTGCATTAACCACACAACGGGCCAAATTATTTGTCAGATAATTCCATTAAAATGCTCCAAAAGGCAACAACAGCACAGACGCAGTCGAGAGGTCCAGTTCAGTGCCTCTAATTAGCTGAGAGGAAGCCCATTTTCTGGACACCGTCTGGGCGATGATTGTGGTGGCAACACATGCTCATATTTCAATCTATTTAGATTTTGAAAAGGACATCTACGTTCTCTTAAAGGTTATTTCTGCATGTGGTCTCGATTAATTAGACCGACACTTC